AGACTGTTCTGAGCCCATACTTCAATGTCAAGTGCACAACCGCTCCAGCATATTTAAAAATGTTAGTGAGCTCAAGAGTTCAACAGTCTTATGGCCAGTGAGATAAAACTGTCTCTGAAACTGGTAAATAAAACATATATTTATTAGGGTTGTACCCGAATATCCGAATATTCGTTCGTTGGAGTACTATTCGGGTTTCAATTTCGTTATTCGGATATTCCTTTTTTTTCTCTTGTTTTTTAATTTTTTTAATTTATTGAAATCTCCAATATCAACGTAAGAGCTTGTGCCTCTTCGGGGGATGCTAACACTTAACCATAAACGTTATTGTTTACTTTCTCCGTCTTTATATGTAGATATTACTTTTTCTCCATTCATCTCCGTCACGTTGTTTCCATAGCAACAACAACTTCCTGTCAACTGCGCTAACTCTCCTTCAAAATAAAAGCATGTCCATACAAAATAGGAAGCCAAGCCAAATTACACTTAGACATATACAACTGCAACGAAAGTAACAAACACAATGCGATATCCTTTTCAATTTCAAAAAACACAAATTGGTTTATGTACATTAAGAAATAGTTATAAAACAACAATACTGTAGAATAACAAAAAGAATGCCGTGAATACACCAAAATACACGTGTTGAAGCGGTTCACTGCTGATTACTACCGCATATCCGGAGGCCGAAAAATGGTATTCGGGACAGCCCTAATATTTATACAACTCATATAATACTCTTTGTCTTCCCAGGTGACCCCGGTCTTTGTCAACCAGCAGAACGGCCCTCAGGTCCAAACTCAGGCCATCTCTCTGGACCTGCTGAAGGCTAATGGCACCCCCACGCTTGTTACCGACAGCAACGGAAACCACTACCTGATCGCTCTGACCAACCACAGTGCAGAGGGGCAGAACGGAGGGTCCTCATTGGCCAAACCCAACAGTCGCATCACACTGCAGGTACGGGGGAAACTAAATATTGTTGAATGGACTGAACGTTGTGAATAATCAGCGATGAGATATTAATTTCTTTGCTTGTTGTTACAGAGGTTACAGTCGACTCCGACTAAACTGCCCAGCACTGACAGCCAATCAAAAGAGCCGCCAGAGGCCGAGCCAATCAAAAAGGTACGTCATAAATATTTTTTCGCTTTTTGATGGAACTTTTTCTGCCTTTATTTGAAAGGGAGAAGCTGGAAATGAAACACTTTTTTTGTACTTTAATTTTAACATATTTTTCTTTTTTTTACAAATGTGTCCCTCCTTTCTTTTGCAAGATCATTTTCTTTGTTTTCTTATTTCTTTATTCATTCTGCGTCTTCTGCAAAGTAACCTATTCTTTAGTTTGAATGTATTATATAATATTATAATAGACACTGATGCATACGCTTCAGGCTTGAGAACACACGAGCTGCCTTTATCTCGGGAAATCATTTAAAATAAATTACAAGACATTTTGTCTCACTCCCAAAAAGCGTTTCTATGATCGTCAGCTTTCTTTTCACCACATTTTGAAGTCTCCTTGATAATATCTACCAAATAATTGTAATTTAAGACAAAGGGACAGTTTCATCCCACAGGCCATACGACCGTTAAACACCTGAACTAGAAAGAACATCCACAACATTCATCTGTTTTCAACTCATATATCAATATTCCAATTACTTGTATATAGACTTCTGCACTATTTCTATTATATTATATTTTATTTTATTATATTATATTTTATTTTATTTACTTGCACTTTTTTATCCGTTTATTGTGTTGCACTGTTGGAGGAACCTGTGACCTAAGATGTTCATTGTCATAACTAAACTGTTGATATGTAC